TGAGTGAGTGAGTGAGTGAGTGAGTGAGTGAGTGAGTGTGTGCGTGTGTGCGTGTGTGCGTGAGTGTGTGTGTGCGTGAGTGTGAGTGTGTGTGTGAGTGAGTGCGTGTGTGTGTGTGTGCGTCTGTGTGTGTGTGTGTGTGTGTGTGTGTGTGAGAGTGTGTGTGTGTGTGTGAGAGTTTGTGTGTGTGTGAGAGTGTGTGTGTGTGCTCTGTGCTCTGGTTTAGTGGAGGTTGTGATGAGGAGCTGCGGGTTAATCTCTCGCTCTGATTGCAGACGTTACATACCCGTGCTCCGAGATTTTCCAGCCAAGTTCATCTACGACCCCTGGAACGCGCCGGACGACGTACAGCGCGCCGCCAAATGCGTGATAGGCGTGGATTATCCCAAACCCATGGTGAACCACGCCGAGGCCAGCCGCCTGAACATCGAGAGGATGCGGCAGATCTACCAGCAGCTCTCCAGATACCGCGGACTCAGTAAGAGCATTTAAAGCAGTACACAACAAAACTGCAGTGCGTGATTAGAATAACTTAATCGTCCACTAATATAGTTATTGTTATTTGTCATAATTATTGTTCTAGTTATTGGTGTAAAAGGGTTTTAACTCTAACAGTATAGCGAAGTCCACACCGCAGCTGTAACAATATTGTTGGAATTACATTCATAACGATATTTTCCAGCTGATGTACGATAAAAACATCCACAGCCGATCAGAATCCATCCGACTTTAAAGAGCTCAAGCATTTAAACCGGCAGGTGACAAAATTGCAGTGCGCAATTAGAATAAACAGAACAATATCATCCACTAATATAGTTATTGCTATAATTATCATTCTTGGCGTGAACGGGCTTTAACTATAAGAGAAAATCAAAGTTTACATCACAGCTATAACGATAACGACACAAAGGAACAAAATCATTGGAATCACATTCAGAATTATTTTTTTCTAGTTGATGAACGATAAAAACGTTGACAGCCAATCAGAATTCACCGACTTTGATGAGCTGGAGCATATAAAGTGGCAGGCGACAAAACAACAGCACGCGATTAGAATAAACAGAACGTTATTGTCCACTAATATAGTCATCATTATAGTTATCGTTCTTGGTGTGAACGATTCTTAACTATAAGAGAATAGCGAATTCCACAACGCAAATATAATGACACAGAGGAACAATATTGTTGGAATTACTTTCATAACGATATTTAAATTTTATACTTCAAACGATATTTATTTTATCTGACTTTAAAGAGCGTGTGATTTAAACCGGCAGCTGACAAAACTGCAGCATGCTTACAATAAACAGAATGATATCGTCCGCTAATATAGTTAACGTTATAGTTATCGTTGTGGTTATCGTTCTTGGTGTGAACGAGTCTTTATTTTCATTCATCTCAGGTCTTCTCGCAACTGTTCCGTCTAACCACATGGAGGTCGTGGGCGTAAATGAAGCTCAAGGAACAGCGGCGCCCCCTACACACCGGAGGATACAGAGCGGCACTTTGTCTCACCGTGAGTGTATGAAATCGTACGTTGTGATCAAATAAGTGCGTTTGAAAGGAAATCAGTGAGCTGTAATGCTCTGTGTGTCCAGTAGGGGTCATGAGAGAGCAGCCTGGACCGAGCGGAGCGAAACATCGCAGCGCAAGACACCGACACGCCCTCAGTGAGACCATGTCTTTTGGCTGTTAAGATAACGTTTTATGAACGTTTGCGCAAATTTTTAACGTTTCTCTCCTGCAGGCCACCGTACGTCACCTTACACCACCCAGAGCGACTTGACGAACCACGACCACGAGTTTGCCGTTCCACAACAACCAGGTATGTTTTTTCGCACAGGAAATACGCTACAATTGTTTGCGAACAAAATTTGATGTTGACTTCCTTCAGGGCGTCTGATTTGGCCGGTTGGGGGCGGGACTGGAAGGGGAGAAAGGGAGGCGGAGCACAACGGTTGCCATGGTGACGACGGCCCCTCCTCCTCTTCAGTGCTAAAAGCCCAAGATGATGAAGTTCGTAAAAAGTTGAAGCTATGCACAATTTGCTGATTAGTAAAAATAGAAACGCTCAACTGTATTTATCTGTTTGTTTCAGAACAGGCAGGAAGATGCGGGGGGCGTGGCCTTCTCTTCCTAAGCTCCACCCACTGATGGATTCGCAAAATGTATTACAACCTTTCCTCGCGTGTTAAACAAACATGAGTAACTCAAAACGGTTTGTCCGATCAAATTGTGGTGAAAATGTCATTTTAACGTTTTTAGAAATTTTATAATATAAAATTCTAAAATTTACAATTAAATAAAATTTAATTATTATCCCAAATATTGATTTTACAAATCAGATGTAAATACTGTCTTCGTGTCATTAAACTTTTAAGCTAAAGGTCCTTTCACACCAAACTTTAAACGAATGAGTGTAGCGAATATTCGTCAGCTTGAACGAAAAGCTAAACGTTTTAATAACTCCTGATTTATATTTGCAAATGTAGTTGACGAAAACGTTAACCAAAGCTCAAGTCTTATTGGTCAGCACATTTCCGTCACCAGTTGCGGAAAAATTTAGTGTCTCCATTGTTTATATTCAAATTTGCGAAGATTTTTTTGGCGTAAACGGACCTTAATATGTGAAAATACAAGTAATCGCAAACAGCCAAAGAACACACGTTACGCCACATTTAAACGGATCCAGATTTGCTCAGTATTACGGAAGAACGTTTTAATAACTCCTGATTTATATTTGCAAATGTAGTTGACGAAAACGTTAACCAAAGCTCAAGTCTTATTGGTCAGCACATTTCCGTCACCAGTTGCGGAAAAATTTAGTGTCTCCATTGTTTATATTCAAATTTGCGAAGATTTTTTTGGCGTAAACGGACCTTAATATGTGAAAATACAAGTAATCGCAAACAGCCAAAGAAGAACACACGTTGCGCCACATTTAAACGGATCCAGATTTGCTCAGTATTACGGAAGAACGGAAGAGTTTCAGCAGCGCTGCTCTGAACCAGCCTCACCTGTACATACCTGCGTCTGTTTCCATGGTGATGTGAGAGTCACATGACCGTTGGAATGTGTTTGGGTCCAAACTATTGTAACTGTACCACAGATGAATGATTGTCTCGTCTGTATTTAAACGACTGTATTTTGTTCAGTGTTTTTGCACAGATAGAATTGTGTAGAATGGGCTCCAGGTGTTTGACGTCATCGGTCTTCCATCGCTGTACATTATTTCCACCTCTCGTTGTCATCGTTTCCATCTCTATGTACTCCAATGTTTTGTATATGAATCTTATGAAGATGTACATTTTTACCATTTGTGTTTTCAGTTTTTCTACAGAATATTAGTAGCTGTTTTGAATTTTAAAGATAAATTATATACACATAGCTGGGTAGTAACTGATTACATGTAATCGGGATTACGTAATCAGATTCCAAAAATTAAGTACTTGTAATTAGATTCAATTATATTTTAAAATACTTGTAATCAGACTACAGTTACTTTTTTATTGATTACATAATATTCACACAATAGCAATAAATTATTCATTATTATTATTATTGATTCTCCCCATTTGCTCTTTTTCATTTTTAAATGTTCCTTTCTAAAATAGCTTTTCATTAAACTCACAACCCCCCTGAACCCCAGCTTGGGAAACCTTGACATAATGTAATGTTTAATGCACTTCATGTTGTTAATTACAACAAATGGAATATATTTTCTTACTCCTTGTATTTTTGTATCAGTATGGTACAAGATTGTCCTATTTAAATCAGTGTGATAAACTAGTTTGGTCAAAGGTAATCAAAAAGTAGTCTGATTATATTACCTAAAATGTGTAATCTAATGGCTTACATTACTAAGTGCAATTTTTGTCGTGTAATCAGTAACGAACTATTGTTTGTAAGTAATCTGCCCAGCTCTGTATATATATATATATATATATATATTAGTGCTGTCAAACGATTAATCGCATCCAAAATGAAAGTTTTTGTTTATATAATACAGGTATGTGTGTGTACTGTGTATATTTATTATGTATATATATATATATATAGTACCAGCATTTGTTTCTTAAGTCTGTGTGGTATGTAATCAGCCAGCTAATAAAAAAATATTTAAACATAAAGTGTTTTGTCTCGTCTAGTTATGAACCATTTTTGTCTCTTAAAGGAGGTAGCTGCTACCATGCCAGATAATATTCCCTTTAACATTAAATATACAAGATAACTGACTTAAGTTGTATATTTTAATTGTTTTTTCGCCCGCAATCTGTGTTGTGATGTGACTGGGCTGAAAGACTGCTAATTAAATATTTCCGTGTTCAGTTAGCTTACATTTGCTTAATTTTATAGCTGATAACAAATGAATCCGCTAGCATAGCCTGCTCAAACTACTAGATAAGTAGCCAGCTAAGCTAGTTGATTGGCCTGCTCGCACGAGTTTAGCGGGTTTTATCAGGCTAATCAGTTGTATTACTAGCCTGCAAAGACGTTATAACCTACAGTGCTTGAAGTCCGTTTAATAGTCAGCGAGTTCACTAATTAGCCTACGTTTCTACACAAAATCATATCAAACCTTTACAGAATTTTGTGCTTTTTCTTAAATTATTGTTTGAATCATGCTCGTTTCTCTGAGGGAAGCATCTACACAAACTGTTTTAATTGTGACAATAAAAAAATAACAAAAAAGTTCCAATTAAATTGAATTGACTAAAATGTAAAAAAAAAAGTTGTTTAATTCTGACTATACCAACATTATTGACCACATGGTTACGTTAAAGAAGCTTCGCTAACTTGCTAATCAAGATTATCTTCAGACTTTTCCAACATATGATAGCAAAACGTTATGAATTGTATTTTGGCGTTACGTTTTAAGCTAGAAGTGTTTGCATTTATGCGTTTTCGTAGAGTATGTTATGAAATATTGGATCAAACTGGAGTGAAATCATCTTCTGTGCACATCCGGAGAATCATTGAAAACTTTCTACACCATCTTTTACATGACTTTATTATATTCAAATAATAAAAAAATCGAATTTACAAACACAATTCGACCGATAACGTTTCAGAAGAAACCAGATGACCTTGTTTAACAGCTACAGAAGCACAAACTGATAAATGTGTCTTTGGTCGCAGATCTGAGATGATCTTCGAGAAAAAAACATTTTCCTTTGAGATCAAATTTGTTTATATCAGAAACCCACAGTATGACGTACAAAACTCCCTTTTGCGCAAATGTCTTGGACGTTGATTGGTCAGAAATATCCGTCAACGTTTCTGGTGACCAATCAAAACAGAAAGAGAAAGTCAGCATCACTGCGCGTCAGCACAGCAAACCGGAAGTTCTCGTTAGAACCCTCCTCTTTTTCACTCCGATTTGTCTTTCTTCTTTCCTGTGAACGGAACTTTATTGGCTACTGTTGACTCCACCGTAGACACGCCCCCTGCCACTGCTGAAACCCCGCCCTTCACCAGGCCGACGCCCACCGAGGGCACCGCGGTCACTGCTGATTTGGTGATCTCCAAACTTTTCCCGCCCAGCCAGGTGACTCCGCCCACCGTGGCTCTGACCACGCCCTTCGTGGCGCTGAAGAGACCGCCGGTCACGCGCCAGATCATCGTGGGCGGAGCCACAGGGTGCTCTTTCCCGCCATCTGCTGTGAAGAAAATAACAGCGTTACATTTAATTAACGCACAATATATTCAACATGAATGACTGGAAATAGAACAAAAACAGGTTAATATTATACTTCTGGGTCATATTTAACTCCAAAATCAAAAGACAACAAAAATGTTTTAAATTATACTATTCATTAAAAATCATTACTTTAAAAAAATGCATTGAAACATTATTAATTTAATTATTTTTACTGCATTATAGTAATAAGAATTTGGGGAAATAACGTGCTTTTTAAATTAAAACATTATTAATTGCATTATTTTTATTGCATTATAATAAGAATTTGAAAAAAATAATAATTTTGCATGGAAACATTAATTTCATTATTTTTATTGTACTATAGTAATAAGAATTTGTAAAATATTCATTACTTTTTTAAACCGAAACATTTTATTGCATTATAGTAATGTGAATTTGAAAAAATATATATATTTTTTTTTTGCATTAAAACAATTTCATTATTTTTACTGCATTATAATAATGAGAATGTGGGAAAAATAATTTCCTTTTTATTTGCACTGAAACATTATTAATTTCATTATTTCTACTGCATTATTGAAATGAGAATGTGTAAAAAATATTGCATTATAATTATGAGATTTTGGGAAAATTATCTTTTTTTTTTTCTTTTTTTTTTTAATAAAGTGACGAGAATATGGAACATTTTACCCAAATTCTTATTATTGTAATTCTATTAAATAAAATAAACCAAATAAATAATGCAGTAAAATCTTGATAAAAAATAAATAATAATAATAAAATAAAGAATAAATAAATTAATTAATAAATTTAAAGAAACTGACTTAATTTTCCTAATGCAAAATATTAATTTTTATTTGATTGATTTCTACAATTTTTCTTTTGGGGTCGAAGTATGGAACTGGACATATTTCATATTTTGATGTATTTTACTGTAAGCTGTGGTGATGTTCATCTTGCATCATCAAACAGGGTTTCGTCCGAAAACAAGCGTGAATTCCCGGCAGAAGCGCTTTATTCCCGCGATCATGCACACAAACAGTCCCAGCGCAGCGCCTCGCGACAGACAGACACACGAGTGTTCACTAGATCAACTTTAACTGAGGTCTGTGTAGAAATGATTCAGGAATAAAGTCAGTAATGTAGAACAATACAGGTCTCGCAGTAAACTGACATAAATATGCACATCATTTATGCATATGAGATGTCAGCTGATCATATGGATGATTTTATGATGGTGTGATGACTGATTTCTGAAGATATGATGGAGGGATTATGAATTATGAATCCAGATGAAGTATTACTGTACCTGCGGACGGGTGGGTTTCTGCGTGTTCTTCTTCTTCTTCATGTGTTTCACTTCTGGACTGAACTTCTGAATTCACACTCTACAAACACAGACAATATAATACAGAGAATAAAATCAATGAAGACCGGTCTGACAGATTTTATCATATATAAAGCAGAAATCAGAAAGAGAGACCAGAGAAAAAAAATATGTAATTAAAAAACTTTTTATGATTTATTTATAAATAAGATATTATTTAAAATTTATATTTGCAAAAAAAAGTAAAATGAATGACATTAAACATATATGCTAAAATTAAAGAAGTACAAAAAAATATAAAATGACTATATCATAAAAACATTCTGAAAATATTCCATATTATAAACTATTATTAGTTAATACTATTAATACTATTATTCCATATTCCAACTTATAAACTTGGTAAAATGAATAGGTAATATATAAAGCAGAAATAAGAGTTATAAATAAAAAATTGAAAAATATTCAATTAAAATTCAGTTGTGATATATATACACACACACACACTCACACACTCTCACACACTCTCACACTCACACACTCACACACTCTCTCACCCTCTCTCACACTCTCACACACTCACTCTCACACTCTCACACACTCTCACACTCACACACTCACACACTCTCTCACCCTCTCTCACACTCTCACACACTCACTCTCACACTCTCACACACTCTCACACTCACACACTCACACACTCTCTCACCCTCTCTCACACTCTCACACACTCACTCTCACACTCTCACACACTCTCACACTCACACACTCACACACTCTCTCACCCTCTCTCACACTCTCACACACTCACTCTCACACTCTCACACACTCTCACACTCACACACTCACACACTCTCTCACCCTCTCTCACACTCTCACACACTCACTCTCACACTCTCACACACTCTCACACTCACACACTCACACACTCTCTCACCCTCTCTCACACTCTCACACACTCACTCTCACACTCTCACACACTCTCACACTCACACACTCACACACTCTCTCACCCTCTCTCACACTCTCACACACTCACTCTCACACTCTCACACACTCTCACACTCACACACTCACACACTCTCTCACCCTCTCTCACACTCTCACACACTCACTCTCACACTCTCACACACTCTCACACTCACACACTCACACACTCTCTCACCCTCTCTCACACTCTCACACACTCACTCTCACACTCTCACACACTCTCACACTCACACACTCACACACTCTCTCACCCTCTCTCACACTCTCACACACTCACTCTCACACTCTCACACACTCTCACACTCACACACTCACACACTCTCTCACCCTCTCTCACACTCTCACACACTCACTCTCACACTCTCACACACTCTCACACTCACACACTCACACACTCTCTCACCCTCTCTCACACTCTCACACACTCACTCTCACACTCTCACACACTCTCACACTCACACACTCACACACTCTCTCACCCTCTCTCACACTCTCACACACTCACTCTCACACTCTCACACACTCTCACACTCACACACTCACACACTCTCTCACCCTCTCTCACACTCTCACACACTCACTCTCACACTCTCACACACTCTCACACTCACACACTCACACACTCTCTCACCCTCTCTCACACTCTCACACACTCACTCTCACACTCTCACACACTCTCACACTCACACACTCACACACTCTCTCACCCTCTCTCACACTCTCACACACTCACTCTCACACTCTCACACACTCTCACACTCACACACTCACACACTCTCTCACCCTCTCTCACACTCTCACACACTCACTCTCACACTCTCACTCTCACACACACACTCACTCTCACTCTCTCACTCTCACACACACTCACACACACACACTCTCTCTCTCTCTCACACACACACACACTCTCACTCTCACTCACTCTCACACACACACTCTCACACTCTCAAACACTCACTCTCACACTCTCACACACTCACTCTCACACTCACTCACTCTCACACACATGCTCACTCTCACACACACACTCACTCTCACACTCTCACACACACTCTCACTCTCTCACTCTCACACACTCACTCTCACTCTCTCACACTCACTCACTCTCACAC